TATAAAATAAATGTATATGTAAGAATTGACAATAGATACCTGTCTGTGACATTCTCTTGAGTCAATTGAACCATGCATGCATTAAACAACTTTCTGCTGCTTTACCCAGATTCAGTCAACAGCTACTTTGGAAGCCCCGTTGCGTTCTACTTCAGCTTCCTAGACTTCTACACCTGGTCTCTGCTCCCACCAGCGATACTTGGCCTTTCGATCACATATTTCTCAGGTAGGTGTGCGGAACTATCATTTATGTATAGCTCTTTTTAGACCCCATTTAATTATATACAGCCCTAGAAATTGATTTTTAAGCCATTGGAGCTCCTGTTCTCACCTTTATATGTATTTAGAAGCTGCAGGTTGGCTGTTTTTTTTATGTGAACAGCAAATATTTCAAGGTAATGCAGCTGTTGTGACATTATACTTTGGTGCTATATACTAAAGATAATATTAATATTTGTGCACACTACTAGGTAAAGTTTGGCCTGAGGGTGGTCACGGAGTAAAAAGTATTTTGTGAATTGTCAGCATGTTCAAGCATGTTAACATGCCGATAGAAAGGTCACTGGGCCAAGTCAGGCAGCAAGGGATAGGACCCAAATGCAGAGAGACCAGACAGACAGGAATACATTTTTTTTTTTTAAAGTACATGAATTTAGAAAAGTCCACACAAGAATAACAGAGACCATGCTTTTCAGAGAGGGGGCAGGGGAAATATGTTGGCAGAAAATTCAGTTTAGATTCAGGATTCAGGTTCAGATGGCTCAAAGACATTTCGAAAATCAATACAGTGCTTTGGTCATCGGACTTATGGGTTTTATATTGTCTCATTTGGAACTAAATCATCTGCAAATTAATTCTATACTTGATATGGTATTGTCCACGATAGTCAATTGCCCTAGAGACTGAGCTTTTCTTGCCCGTCACAGGTGAGGCTCAGAAGGAGATGGATGACTCGGTGTCGGGATCCCCGGTCCAAAGTATTGAAGCTGACTCAGGACCAGTTGTCGGTGGTCACATGATCCAGGCGGTGTTCAGCATGCTTTGGTCCACGGTGGTCATGGAGCTGTGGAAGCGCCGAAGCTCCACCCTGTCGTACCGCTGGGGGACGCTGCACCTCGCCGAGCGCTTCGCAGAGCCCCGACCCGGTTTCCACGGTGACCTCGGGGTCAACCCTGTGACGGGTCGTATGGAGCCGCTCTTTCCTGAATGGCAGAGGGACGTGCGTATGGCCCTGGTGTCAGTTCCCATGGTGGGGCTCTTTCTAGGTACAACCTGAATTGAAATGCTAAAATATACCATGATGTTCAATCGTTGATTTAAAAAAATAAGTATAAGTGACTTTTTCTATGCTAATGTTTGCTTGGTTGCTTAAAGATTCTGAGCCTTACCTCTGTCCTCATACATGTACCTCATGCCCTGTCTCCTCTCCCTCTGCAGGGCTGGTGGTAGTGGGTATGCTTGGTTTCTACTGGGGGGAGGCCCAGGTGCAACAGCTCCACACAGACTGGGACTCCCTGCTGTCTCAGACTCTTCTCTACATGCCTTCAGTGCTTCACATCGTCTATTCAAATGTGCTAGCAACTGTTTACCGGAGGGTGGCAAAGTCTCTGACCGAATATGGTGAGTAAGACCGAGTGAATTTATGAAAACAGTATGACCAGTATAAGCTATCTTGTTCAAATATATAGTAAGGTTGAAGTAAAAAGAAAAGAGAATGGAAAACAGCTGATAAGGTTATTTCTACCAATAGTATTGTTTCTGATGCCTGAGATTAGCCAATGATTTCCCTTATATTTCTTCTTAGAGAACCACAGAGAGGAATCTGCCTACGAGAAGCATCTCACAGCCAAAGTGTTGGTGGTAAGTTCTTTCTCTTCACTCCAACCATCAGCTCTTATATCCTCTCCACCAGCAGGCCTTTTGATCAGGCTCTTGTCTCTCTTCCCCCAGTTCACATTCTTCAACTGCTTTGCAGTGCTCTTCCACATTGCCTTCTTCAAGCAGGATGTGCCTTTGCTTCGTAAGGTAATCATCAATCTTCCACTTGTCTCAGTGAAGTTTTTTTTTTCCAACAAAACTTGGGGGTAAAAATCAAGTGTCAACGCAGCAGAGGCCGAGATAACTGGATCTTTATACCTAATGAGGGATATAAAAAAGGTTGTATACTACAATTCCCATAATGCGACTTAAAAGTGCTTTCATTAGACTTTCCCTGTCAATGTCTTTTGAACCCCCCCAACCCATGTGTTGTAACAAAGTATTTGTATCAAAAAAAGTCAAGTAATCTTAACCTAACATTGTGTTGGGGGGGTTCATTTTCCTTTTGCCCTAACCAAACAGTATCAGTTGATATCTATGTCCCGCCCTCATCGCTGATGGGAAAACTAGCATAATGATTGTGTAGATGAAATAAATGGGTTTCATTTACGTACATAATAGATATATGATTTATGTGTAATTATCTCTTACTTGTTGCAATTTTTCATGAATTTAGTTTGGTCGCGAGGATGACTTTTCTTGGTTTTAACCACGCCCACAAAGCGTTGATTGGTCAATTTTCACCTGTGTAAACAGTCGTCAGTGAGCACAGTAGAATAGAACAGTACTCTTTATAAACTGATCTAAATCAGTGGAGTGCCTCACTTTTAAAATGTGTGCAAAGTTTAAGCGTGACCGAGAACAGTAAATTAAATCAAGTTTCCTCACTGATATTAAATTCCCATATTCTCTTTTAGCGTTTAGCGTCTTTGCTGATAATCACCCAGCTGGTGAACCAGGTGACGGAGGTGGTCATTCCCTTCCTGGTGGATCGCTTCATCAGTGCCCCCCATAGGACAGAGAGTGAAGACGACCCCCCGGAGGACAAATTCAGGAACCAAAGCACCCTGCCTGCTTTCCCTGTGAGTGTGCAGTATACTCTAAATAACAAAGTATGCATTGGGAAACACTTACAGTGAATAATATACCTATTTATTTTTGTCACAGGGCTTGTTTGCAGAGTACATCGAGCTCCTGGTGCAGTTTGGGTACTTGAGTCTTTTCTCCTGTGTGTATCCTCTGACGGCCGTACTCTTGCTCATTAATAACCTAACAGAGATCCGATCGGACGCCTACAAGATCTGTAAACTCTTCCGGAAACCCTTCACCCCTCCTGTGGCCAGCATGGGAGTATGGCGGGTCAGCAGAAACACAACAGAAATGAGACGCAGCCAGTATGTCACACTGTTATGAATAAACAGTGCACCTCATTGTGGTCTTGTGTTTCAGATTGCCTTCGAGGTCCTGAGTTTTGCCTCTGTTGTGACCAACTGCTGGCTGTTGATGCTGTCACCTTGGTTACAAGAGCTTTGTCAGGAGAGGGGGTTGACCGGCACAAACATCCTTATGTTGGCTGTTTTAGTCGAGGTAAGAGGGCGGATGGAGAAAGCATTAGTGATTCACATTAGGAGTAATATGTAGCATTTTCTATGATGCTTATGTCAATAAAGCTTTGTCAACATACAGGGTGGAGCCAAGTCCAATCGAACACTGAACAAGACATTGTTAGGCAACCAAAATGTTACAACTACCGTCCATGAACTGAACAAATATTGTGAAATTTTTTATTTTTTTTACCAAATCACAGACAGGACAACGCAGTGGTAGCGACCCGTCCATCAAAACATAGCCATTCACTAAATCATACCCTGCTTTATTGTATATTTCCCTCTTAATGCGATAATGACTTACCAAATGATCATCTTAAAACTAGCAATTGAGACCATTAACTAGTCAGGAAAATTATGCAAAAATTCAAGTGAGATGCAGATTACGTTCTCGTAGACTTCTTTTAGCAGCCAGTGGAATCGCCCCTTTCTGGCCATTAGAAATCATGCAGGTTTAAGGCACTCTAGCATTGACTTTCCCTTTCCTATCCAGAGGGTGCCCCTTGAATTTAGGTCTCTACATGTGCTGATTGGTTCCTTTTAAGTTAACTGAAACAATTTTTCCAGAGTATCACTGAGTGACCAGCACATATTGATTATGTTACACTTGCCTAATTAAAGGTGGGGTAGGTAATTTTGGAGAAACCAGCTCGAGTGCGCTAGAATTTGAAAATACACAGCCGGAACCAATCTGCCACTTCCTTACGGAGCCCCTCCTCCAACACACACGAACGAGCACATGACCAATGAGGGCACGAGATAAGTTTGTGCACAGATGGAAGGCTGACAGGCAGGTAGGCCATCCAGTTATTTTAGCCATGCCGGCTCAAATGATTGGTCGTGCTTTTTACACTATTACGGCTTCCACAGATGACATTTTTTTATGGATTTTTTGTCAAAGCACTTAAGATATTCATTGCTATCGGGATGTTAAGAGCATTCCATGGAATATAACAAAAAGTGTATCTCGAGCCGGTTTCTCAAACTTTCTCTTACCCCACCTTTAAGTCAATTTTTAAAATGCTTTCAATTTTGTTATTATAAAGCATTAGTCATTTCTATGACAGCTTATAATTACCAAGTGCCTTAATCGGTTAAATATACCTTTTTATAGACATGAGGGTCTTGATAGTCTTAATTAGACCCTGACATTTGTACTTGTGTTTGTTTTGCAGCACTTGCTGATCTTGGTTAAGGTGGTTTTGGCGGTTCTGATCCCCGATGAGCCGGACTGGATCCGGAAAAAGATTGAGCATATTGAGTTCACATCCATGCAGGCCTTGAGAGAGCAGGTAAACCCTCCACCATATATTTCATTATTCATCATTTTGGTGGTCTTTAACATATTGTAGACAACTCAGGGTGTCCGCGGGGTCTTAAAAAGTATTAAAAGTTGATAAATCAATTTAGCGAAAATTAAGGCTATTAAAAAGTATTAAAAAGTATTAAACGGCATTTTCAAGATATTAAAAAGGTTACACAGCAACGACAACATG